ATCCTATTTATATAGCGCTTATCCAATTCTGTTCTAATAGTCCAGTCATCCTGTGAAATTTATAGGGCCAAGGTCAAACAAATTGCAAAAGAAAGTTTCTCATCGCCAAATGCTAGTTATAGGTGTACTAACTAACATACTAAAAGTTCCGAAAAATTCCTGTGGTGGAACATGGTCAAATTAAGCGTTTTGTGTTGACCAATTTACACAGGGAGCCCAAAACACAAAAATATTGCAACATTTTATAAAAAGTTGAAAAAGAGCTTTTTTCCCCTCAAAATTGATGACAAAGTGACAATTAAGACGTTTTTGTAATAAAAAAGAATCATAAAGCAATAAAAAATAACAATAAACTTATTCCAAGCAGTCTTTGCGAGACGTGGTTTTAGCGAGGAACGCCTGGTAAGTTTTGTGACTGATCTTTCCCGCTTCGGTTTCTATTCGCCTTCTAATGCTGAGATTTATTGTGTTTATCTTAATAGCGAGCTATTTTCATGACAAAAGGTAAGCTTAAAATATKGTCTTTGAGAATKATTAATTCACATTTCAGATCGTTGAATTTATAAATGCACAATTATTCTAGAAATACTGGAAGTATATCAAACACGTGTACATCTCAAATGTTTACTGAAGTTGCAATTCAAATTCAAACCATTTCTTTAAGGGATTATGTAGCATGCGAAAGGATTCAAATCACCATGAACTGCTGCTTTTGCAGTGATTTGCTAGAAGATGGTCAACCAACCGTTGCATTAAAAGAAAAAGGGTGTTTGAGTATTAATAAATTGAGCGAAACTCATGGCCGCGACAAAATTGAGGTGCAAGTTGGTGAAATTGTTCACAAGAAATGTCGTCTCAATTTCATCAGACCACGGCAAATTGCAAGGGAAAACATTAAAGTCGAAAGTACGAAGCCAATTAGTCGACGGTCACAGGTCTCTAAGTTTGTTTGGAAAGAACATTGTTTCTTTTGCAGTCAGCCTGCAAGGTATGATGGKCGAAAACGCGGATATGATGTTTTTCCCGTACGSACTAAAGATTTTCAGACACTAATTACTGATATATGTAGCACAAGGAATGATGAGTGGGCTGCTATAGTACAAGGAAGATTGGAATACGCACAGGACCTTCATGCCGCAGATGCGATATACCACCAAAGCTGTAATGTCAACTTCCGTACTGGAAGAGCCAGGTAGCATCGCTCGGAACGGCTCTCATGATAGGTTGAGAAAACAATGGACAAACAATAGATAAGTCTTCCAACAATATAACAAAACCTAACCTAACAATAGTGGTGCTGTACTTAAGGAGCTATCAAAAAGCAGGTTTCAATTGGTACTGCATTACTGTACTGGAAAGCAAATTCCAAAAAAGTATGACGGTAATAGTGGCGCAGCTTGCAAACGCCAAAAAGGGCGACCCACTGATTCTGTGAAGATAGACGCGTTTTTAAAAGTAGCAACATTTCTTGAAGAGAATGATGATGAACAAATAACTATATCTAGTCTAACTACTAAGATGAAGGAATTTCTCGAAGAAACAGAAGACGAAAAGCCATACAGTGAAGTATACATGAAAAAGAAACTAGAAGAACATTTTGGCGACAAAATAGTCATTGTAAACGCCATGGGTCACAACGTCGTGACTTTCCGGAATACAGCTTCATCCATAATCAGTGAATTTTATAAGCAACCGAAAACAAATGACTATCAGGTAGAGAAAGAGAGAATTATTCTCACAGCCGCAAAACTAATCAAAAGCGAGGTTAAAAAGTTGGATACAACAAGTACCGATTACCCCTCTAGTGAAAAAATGGCATCTATTGAACAGGCTTTGGCATTTCTACCTAATCTACTTCTTCTTTTCCTTAAAAATAWCTTTGTCGGTAAAGATATAGACCTAAAGCTTGCATCAATCGGACAAGCGATGATACAGGCAACAAKACCTAGAGCTATCATTGCTCCTCTCCAGCTAGGTCTCGGTGTGCAGCTCCATCATCATTTCGCCTCTAAGTTTCTTATTGACTCACTCAATTCACATGATTTCTGCTCCTCGTACTCTGTTGTACAGAAATACGAACGAAGCGCAGCTGTAAACCAAGGGACTGATATTCCAGGGTATACCGCAGAACGATTTAASCAGTACATAGCAGACAACGTTGACCATAACACAAGGACCCTAGATGGGAATGGGACATTTCACGGAATGGGTATTATTACCTGGTGTTAAAAGTAAGCAATTAATGCCAATAAAATCTGTATCAGCTGAAGAAATTGTTTTGGCGGGGCGCATAGATATTCATCACTACGAAGGTCCAAAAGAAGATGGTATAAAATTAGAGTATAAAAAGCTTAAAGATTTGCAAGTTAAGGACGCGACAGCTAACTTAGATCTTCTGTGGAAACTGAGTCTACCACTAATTAACACTCCAAGACCGGGCTGGGCGGGAACAATGCAAGGGATATGCCATGGCGTACACCCTSGTAAATCCTCAGTGATGTTTTTGCCCATGATTGACCTTGACCCATCTGATATGTCTTGTGTTTATTCTACTTTGCTATTTGTTAGCAATCATGCCAAGCGCTATAATATCACGCCTATACTGACATTTGATCAGCCATTGTGGTGGAAGGCGCTTACAATTYAACTGAGCGAACCGAAAGAGAGCGATATCAAAAAGATTGTTCTGAGATTAGGAGGCTTCCACATACAGATGAGCTTTCTCGGTTCCATTGGTCACCTTATGGCAGGTAGCGGCTTGCAAGAGCTACTTGAGCTTGCATATGCTAAGAATGCGGTTGTGTGGCAAAGCAGTATCAAGGGCAATTAGAGGGCATTTCCTTGTTGATGCCGCTCTTAACACAATATTTGTTAGAAAAACCTTCAATTTACGCCATCCAGATGAAATGAACGAAACAGCACGAGGAACAGAACAGAGCGTCGCAGAGACCGCTTCTACACCCCTAGAAACCCAAAGAGAACAGAGCGTCGCAGAGACCGCTTCTACACCCCTAGAAATTCAAAGACAACAGAGCGTCGCAGAGACCGCTTCTACACCCATAGAACTCCAAAGACAACAGAGCGTCGCAGAGACCGCTTCTACACCCCTAGAAACCCAAAGAGAACAGAGCGTCGCAGAGACCGCTTCTACACCCCTAGAAATTCAAAGACAACAGAGCGTCGCAGAGACCGCTTCTACACCCATAGAACTCCAAAGACAACAGAGCGTCGCAGAGACCGCTTCTACACCCCTAGAAACCCAAAGAGAACAGAGCGTCACAGAGACCGCTTCTACACCCATAGAACTCCAAAGACAACAGAGCGTCGCAGAGACCGCTTCTACACCCCTAGAAACCCAAAGAGAACAGAGCGTCACAGAGACCGCTTCTACACCCATAGAACTCCAAAGACAACAGANACAATAAACAAGTCAAATGTTTTTGCATGATGGCCGGTGGCTCAAATGAGCTCATTCGCCCTTTGACAGGTTTTGTTTTTAGTCCTGCTGGGAGTCATGCCACCCTCCTCACCAGTGTAGACTGGTGGGGGTGCCGGTTTAGACGCCGACGACCCGTCCATGAGGCAGGTTGTACTGGGTTACAATGTTACCAGTAGCAGACTACATGTCTGACCTGACCTGACAATACATGAAATGCTTCCGTATTTCGCAGCAGCAGGACATAATCTCTATGCGAAATCTGCACAAATATATTTACAAATGATGAATGAGCTTCAGGAAAAGAATCCAGACGTCTATAAAAGCTTCACGGAGGGCTACCATTGTGCAAGGAGAAGTGACCGCTACTGGGCTGGACTTCCAACCGATTTAATGATTGAACAAGTCCTAATGAGAAGCGTTAAGACTAGCGGTGGCCTAACGAGGGGCAAAGGGTTTTCAGAGGTACAACGGTTGGTGTGGCTATTATCAATGCCTGCTTGTGCAGAAGTAAACGATGCCATGCAAAGTATTACGCACGTGAGGTATGGATAAAACTTTCCTTTTCTATAGGCTTTCATAGCTATTTAGCGCTGAAAATTTAGTTCTTATCATGCTATCATCGTGCTAAATATATCATATTTTTTTAAATTCAGGTATGAAACGAGTGAACAACATAAAGATACTACTGAATCAAGGAAGATACGCGATCATAAGGACGTGGGAGATATAGTAGACTACCTTTCCCAAAGAGATCCATTTGCTGATGACCAATCTCTACGATCCATTGCAACTGGTGTCGTGGCTAGCCAGCAAGTAAACGTCGATAAGTGCAAAAAAGTAGGGGATGGCGTCCTCGAATCCATGATTGGAGAAAATGCGTATGAATACTCTTTTCGTAAGACAAACCAAGCAGTAACCCTGGCATCTAAAACATCTGTGAAGTTAAAGGATGGCGAGATCCAAGTCGATCCGCGACTGCTTTTTCAAAGACTAAGTTTTGTTGCTACAGGAGGACAGTATAACAATCCTCAATTGTTTTTTAAATATGAAATGAGCAGTTATCCAACCGCATTGTTTGATTCATCGCTTCTTCTCTTACAAGCTAATAAGCCGGTATTAGCCGAGGCAATGTGGGTAAAAACAAAGAATGATGAACAGACAACATTACCAGCAGAAAATGTTCGCTATGTACTTGATGGCGGTGCCCTACTACATCGAGTAATTTGGCCACGTGGTGTCACATACAGAGAGATTCTTTCGATGTATAATAAGTACGTAATGCGAAGGTATGGTCAAGCCATAGTAGTTTTTGATGGATACGAAGAAGGGCCGTCAACTAAAGATTGCGCACACAGAGGCGAGCACGTATTTCAAGTCCTCCAGTTAATTTTGACTGTGGCATGGTACTAACGATGAAGAAGGAAGAGTTCCTCAGGAATCCAACCAATAAACAAAAATTTATATATCTTCTCGCAGAAAATCTCCGGCTGTATGGATGTGATGTCCTTCACTCAACAGGGGACGCCGATTTGATGATCGTACAGGCAGCTATTTCGGACAGCCAGGTCAACCTCTACAGTTTTAGTTGGAGACGACACCGACCTTTTAGTACTACTTTTGCATCACGTGGAAAAGGATGCCCATGATATTTTCTTCGCGCCTCAGCCAAAGCTGAAATCAGCAAGAAGGAGGATTTGGGACATCAAAAAAACTGTATCTGCACTTGGCCCAGAAATATGCTCAAGCATTTTGTTCGTACACGCAGTTTTGGGATGCGATACAACCTCAAGACTCTTTGGTATTGGCAAAGGGGCGGCTCTTAAGACGATATCCTCAGATGCGGTTTTYCGCGAGCAAGCTCGTGTATTCAATCAAGAAGATGCGTCCAAAGAAAACATCATTGGGGCAGGTGAAAAAGCTCTTCTTTGTCTTTACAACAGCAGAGCAGATGGCAGTCTTGATTCTTTGAGGTATTCCCGATTTTGCAATAAGATCGCAAGTGGTACTACATTTGTGGAGCCTGAGTGTCTGCCACCGACATCCGCAGCGGCTTCTTTCCACAGTCTTAGAGTTTATTACCAGGTACAAGAATGGAAAGGCTTGAAACTCGACCCACAAGATTGGGGATGGATTTTGGAGAACGAGAAACTAATGCCAGTGCGAACTAATCTTCCAGCAGCCCACGAATCGTTGCTAGAGCTGGTAAGGTGCAACTGCAAGGCTGATTGCCGCTCCAAAAGATGCTCTTGCAGGAAACACGGCCTTGAATGCACAGCTGCTTGCGGTTCATGTAGAGGACAGAGCTGCACCAACTCAGCTCGACCGGAAATKGGCGAAAACGAATGAAAGTTCCTATGATGTTATCTGATATAGTAACTTAATAACTGAGCCATGTAACTGTAAATGATGTTGTATATATAAGCGATTTAGTGTATTATTGTTTTTTTGAAGTAATTCATATGCTTCTGATATGTAGATCTCCTAGCTCAGTCCTTTTAATAAGCACCTATAGATCATATTAGAAGGCCCAAAAGAAGTTATTGTTGTGCATATTTTATTTCAGCAAGTGGCTGAATAAATGTGTTTTGAGTAAAACGTCAGAAAACGTGCTTTTGAATACTATACAGGTTGTCTTAACGAGCATAGATGTCTTTCTAAAAAA